ATCATAATTTTTAATTATGTAAATTTTTATTATTATTTTTTACTTTTTCCTCCCTCTTAATTATTAAGTAAAAAAAAAAAAAGAGTATATAAAATAGAATAAATTTCGATTAATCGATTGAAAAAGTTTAATTTTTATGGGAAGAAAAAGAAAAAGTTCAGAAAGGGTATTTATGAATAATTGGATAATGACTATATACAAAGGTTTTTAATTGTTTTTTTTTAAAAAAAAAATTTGCAAATAAAAAATCATAAAGAATTTGAATTATTCCTCATAAGTTTGTTAAAAGACCAAAAATTTCTTAATTTTTTTTTTTAAATATGCGGTAATTTTTTTTTCGTTGTGTTGTTAAAAAAAAATAGCACCTCACGAAAGAATGAAATAATAATAAAAAAAAATAACTACAAAGAAAAAATGTACAAAGAAAAAATAATATAATATAAAGTTCGAGAGGTGAAACGAAATTTATAACGAATTAAAAGAGTAAAATAAAAATTAAAAATGTTCATTTTAAAAAAAACGAAGATCGGAAGTTAAAAAATTCGAAATCGAATGAAAATATTCATGATTATGAAAATGAAACGAATAAAAAGGAATATTTTTTTTTTTTAATATTAAAAATAAGTGAAAAAAAGAAGAAAATAAAGAGATTTTAACATTTTCATTATAATGAAATAAGTTAGCCCAAAAATAAAAAAGTTGAATCATTTCAAGGCCAGACTTTTCCTGTCTTAAATACTATACCATCATTACGACTAAATAAAATAGGTCTCCCACTATTCACACCAACAATTCTTCCATGAGAAAGAAGATGTAAGTGACGACCTTGAAGACTAGCATTAACAATGTCTCGGTTGATATTGTTGTGACGGTCCAGTTCATACATCAATTCTTCAGGTAATAAGCATACAAGACAGTCTTTAGATCTAAATTCCACCCTTGGGCTTGGTAAATCTCCAAACCATACCATGAGATCACGGGTAAAATTTTCCCCATATATAGTTATGGTATTGGGGGTAGTCGAATTTTGAATTTGTGATGATGTACCAGTTGATGGTGAGGATGTAGCTGTTATTATATTTGATATAATAGGAAGTGGTGTGACTGGGGAAGATGATGGTAATGGTGGAATAATATGTGATGTTGAACTAATTGGACGTCCAATCATATTTTGCGGAGAATAAAATGTGTATGAAGCACAATCTGCGTAAAAAAAAAATAATAATAAATAAATAAATAAAAATGAAATAAAATAAACAAATAAATAAAAATCATCTTTATAAAAGTAATTTTAATTTACCCGTTCCAACAATCGTCCATACTGCGGCATCTGTAACATCTTCAGTCCATAAAGCTCCAGCATTATCATGACCATTACGATGATGACCACTAATTGCATTTCTTGTTGTAGCAGCATACTTAGCTAGATCAACTTCACTAGCAACACCGCTCAAACTATTTACTCTTCTCCTATTCTTAGCCAAAGTAGATTTTGATAATGTAGTAGTAGGTCTGATAACAACTGATGATGAAACTCTACGCTTCCTAATAACTTTCCCACCTTCAGTAGATACAACTGCAGACTCAGATAATGGTGTCGAATCAAAAGGAAAGTTTGTTTGTGAATTTGCTAACGCTACAGCAACAGCTGGAGGAATTTCAGAAGTGGGAGAAGGTATTGGTGAATTAACTTTATCTAAGAAACTTGTATTAACTGGAGTTGTAGGTTGACTTATTATCTTTCGACCTTCATTTGCTCGTTGCATTCCAACTACATCACCTAAACAGGCCAGGTAAGTACCAGGACCTGGTGGATGAGCCTGACTTGGGGATTGGAATGTGGGTGAAGTGGTAGGAGTCATATTAACATCCTTAATTTGAAATGCGACTTTATGTAATTGTGAAACTGGATCACCAAGAGCTGTTTATATGAATAATAATTGATTTAATATTCTAATTGTTAATTTTGATAAATTTCATATTCAAAGAAAAAAAAAAAAAAAACCAACCTTCTTCACCTTCACCATAACCGTTCAATGGTTCAAGGATACCTCCGCCTATGACCATACTACCTTTATCCACTTTACGAATGATCATAACTGGACTAGTCATTCCAGTACTCAAACATTGTAAGACGATTGGTTGATTATAATGAATTGGTGTAGGATTATTAGGATTTGATTTTATAGCAGCAGGTGGTGGACGAGGGAAATTTGGATGCGGTGGATGTTGAGGATGATCATCTTTACCCTTAATGTGATGTGGATCTACAATCCAAATGATGAAAGGATCCCAACTTCCCGTTCGCGCAACAAAACATGGATGTGGTTGATCGTTTGGATTCGATGATGTATTACTATTATTTACATTTCCATACCAAGGTCCGAATGTTTGATTTGCGTTTTGCATTGATACACCAAGATATTTTGTCGAAACAGTTTGTGAACGGATTCGATTAAATAATGAAATAGTAGTTCCATGGTGTATACACACTATAAAGAAATAAATTATTAAATAAAAATTGAAAAGTGTACATTTTTTATATTATATGTTTAAAAATTGTTACTTACATTCCATGTTTTTAACGCTTTGTCTTTTTTTACTTGGTTTACTAATAACTTTGATAGGTTTACTAGCAAAAGTACCAAAGTTATGACCCATTGGACTGTGAATATTAACTAAAACTTCTACTCTCTTTCGTTTTTCATCAGCATCATTAATATATAAATGTTTTGAAACACATTTTCCACTAAATGCCATCTCGGAACATGAAGTAGGATCAAGTGGATTACCAGAAGGACTAATCCATTCAAGAATTCCTTGTTGGTGACCTTGTTCACCAGAAATACCCACAGAAATTTTTGGAGGACTAAATGTAGTTGAAGATGAATGTCCTATACTATGTGGTGATGGACACCACCAATTTGATCCCAAAATCAATGTAGTAGGAGGAGGACATAAAAATCTAAATGATAATAAAAATCAGTATAAATGTTTTTTTTAAAAAAAAATAATATATATATATTTATTTATTTATTTATTTTAACCTTTTTTCCGTTCCATAAGACTTTTGAGCAACCTTTGAAGTTAAAACCATTACGGTTTTTTCTCCCAATGCTGCTGGGTTATTAGAGTTCAAGTATTGTTGAATAATAGGTCTCATAATATTAACCGCAGTATTTCTTGGATTAACATTGGAATTAATGTTATGTACATCTGAAACATAAGGTGAAGGAGTAACCATTGGAATAGGTTCTGTCGTGTTAGAAGAGTTTGATCCTACAGTTTCCTCCTCTTCCTCCATGATAGTAGGGCTAATTGACATTCGACGCATATAATTTGGTGTTTGAGGAGGTGAAGGAGAAGGTGGAGATGATGAATTAGAAGATACAGAATCTCCTGGTGATTCAGGTGGAGATAAAGCTGGAGTTCTTGGTTCAGATTTAATATTTGGAGGATTGGATAAAGTTCTACTTCTCGTTTTTCTTACGGTATTATTATTACTATTATTAATATTATTATTATGATTATTAGCTTGTTCACAATGATTTTGACGTCGATGTTGTTTACTATTAAAATAATCAGTTTCCATATCAATAGTAGATGAAGAAGTAGATTGAGAAAGCATTGGAGTAAAATCAGGTTGTGTAATTGAAATAGCTGCAGGAGTTACAGTTTGAGGATTTTCAATAATTTTCTCAGAAGTAAAAATGTTATTTTGTTGTGAAGAAGAAGAAATACTATCAAAACTATGAGATCTTGATACAGAAATTGAATTATCATTTTCTATTAATTGTTCTGAAGAAGTTAAAGTAGTAGGATTAATTCCAAAATTAAACCCTTCTGACATAGTATTAGTAACACCATCAAGAAATTCAGGTTCAAAAAATACAGGAGTTGGTGGCATGGTTACAACAGGAGAAGGGGAACTTGCAATAGAATCGGTAAAATTAAAATCTGAACCCAAACGATACACATTAGATTCCGTAGTAGTAGTAGTAATATTTAAAGGCATTAAATGAGGTCTATTACGATTATTACGAATATTACCCTCATTTATTGAAGAAGTTCCCACACCAAAAGTAGTAATTTGATCAGAAGATTTATCATTACGAGAATCAACAAGAAAAGCGGCAGCAGCGGCCAATTGACCAAGATTATCATAATGAATACCATTCATAGTATTTTTACGATCATCATTTCCATTCGAATTATTATGATTATGATGATGATGATGATGATGATGATGATGATCATTAATAGAAGAGGAATTATCATCATAACCAAAATTGACGGTAGGAGTATAATCCGAAGTAGTATTCATTGGAATTGTTGTTGGATTAATAGAGTAGGAATTATAAAGAGCTTCCAAACCAAAAGTATTATCAGAAGTTGATAAAGCCAAATTTCCAGCCAAATTTTCAGTCATAAGATAATCATGTATATTATAAGTACCATTAGAAGAACCATCATTATTATTTGAATTTGCATCCACATTTGGAGGAGGAGGAGAATTTGTTGGTGTTGAAGGGTTTGAACGAACAAATTCTGACCATTCAGATTGATTTAACATAATTTGATGTTGATGATTATGTTGATAAGATACATTAACTAAATGTTGTTGATGTTGTTGATGTTGTTGATGGTATATCAATTGAGGTTTTTGATGTTGATTAGATAAATAATAATCATGAGATATTGGATAATGATATTCTGGCTTTCTTTTCTTGTTAATTTTATTTTCGGTACCGTTACATGATTTTGAGGACATGTTATCAAGATTATAATTGTTTGCCAGTTGAGGATTATGTACTACGGGATAAGAACTATAGAAATCTGTAGATAATGGAGAATGTACCATTCTTTATTTTTATTTCTAAAAAAAAATAATTGAAATTTAAAAATAAGTAATTATTGAAAGAATGGGGATTGATTTAAAAAGATATTAAGAATAAATGGTAAATGAAAAAGGAAATGGAGAAATATAATAATATTTTATTTAAAAAAATATGAAAAGCAATTTAATATCGATACTTACCTATTTAATAATATATATTATATATATAAAAATATAAATATAGTAACAAATTTTATCGGTCGATTTCTTTTTTCTCGTATAAAGTTTGATTTTTTTCACAAAAGAAGAAAAAAAGGTCAAGATCTCAAAAAAGTATTATTACCTTTTATATATATATATATATATCTTTGTCGGAATTTTACAACGTTAAAAGGAAGTTTTTTGAACTTTACGAAAAATAAAAGATATTTATGTACAAGGTAGAAATTCCCGAATAGAGAAGATATTATTGGGTCAGGAATAAGTAATTTTGTTGGGTGGTTAATTTTTATTTTTTTACTATAATTTTTTTTTTTTTTGAAATGTAATTTTTTTTTTTATAGTAAAAATTAGTCGTTAAGAGGGGGGATAAGAAATTTTTTGTTGATAAAAGTACCGATATATATATAATTATATATTAGTGATTTTTAAATGATTTATACAAAATTGTGTATAAATAAATAAACAAATAAAAAATAACCGATAAACAAAAGATTTAGGGGATATTAAAAGTAAAGTGAGTAAAGTGACCGAATATGTTGAAGTAAACGTGTAAAAAATACGAAAAAGGAGGGGTGAAAAAATTTTTTAGGGTAATAAATTTTTTTTAGTGACAATATAAAAAAAAAAAATAGTGATATACCGAATAATTACCCAATATATCAAGTTTTTTTTTAAAAAAAAGTGGCAAAAAAAAAGTGGAAAAAAAACTAATTCAAAAAAGAAAAAAAGCGAAAGTTTATATATAATTAAGGAAAATGAGATAATGATAAAAAGATTATGGAGATAATTTAAGTTCTGAAATTTTGTCGGAGGCAATTAAAAAAGAAAAAACGAAATTTTCTTAAATAAATTCGTATGTTTACCGTTTTTTTTTGACGTTTGATTTGATGCTAATATCGTATGATTTCAATAGTCCGTTATGAAAGCAATTTTCACGATATATAAAAATAAGCACTAATAAATTTTAACAAATAAAAAAAAATAATAATAATAATAAATAAATAAATAAATAAATAATAATGTTAGACATATAATTCGTTACAATTGTACAATTTGTAACAAAATAAAATAATAAAACGGGAAAAAAAAGAAAAATAGGAGGAGGAAAAAAAAAAGAAAGTAAAGTAAAAAAAAAATAACATACCATCAATAACGAAGAAATCTTCCTCGGTTAAGATATTTTTAAAAAAAGAAAAATAAAAATAAATTTCTGAAAACAAGAAGTTTTTAATATCTAAACCAAGAGAAGGTTTTCTCGTAAAAATTTCGGAGAACTCAAAGAAAAAGTGGAGATAAACTTTTTATTTTCAAGTACGATTTCTCAATTATTTTTTTTTGACCAGAAAGACGACAATTTATAAAAAAATTTATTTTATACAAATCCGGGCTGGTTTGATTTACAATAGAAACAACAATATAAACCACTTTAATAATACTATAAATATGTAATGGAAATCACTCAATTTCTAAACTTTAAATTTTTTTTTTTTATGCAGGAATTTTATGGGTTTTTTATTATAAAAAAAAAAAATATTTAATTTAAACTAATTAATAATGACTTTTTAATTTTTAGGGACTTTTTTTTTTTTATATTATTATCTATATTATAAAAAATAACAATTTATATAGTATGTTGTAATAAACAATTTACGTTTACGTTACATTACATTTTTAACATTTCTACAATATAAAAAAAAAAAAAAATTATGGGATAAACAAAAAAGCTGGGGAAAGTAATTATCACTAAATGTAATCGCCACTTTTCAATTGGATGAACGCCCAAAAATGGTTTTCAAAAAAAAAAAAAAAATTGTGGCTTGTGGCAACGATTTTTCAAGGGTAACTATTATGTGACCAAATATTATATATATTTTATAAAGGGACCGGATATACCAAGAAATCTTAAAATAAAACATAATAAGAAGACAAAGGAAATTTGAAAAATGTTTAATGTTTAGGGTGTTACACAATTGTACGGACCAGCTGATAATACAACACTACAACTGTAAGTCTTAACTTAAATTGTTATCATCATGTGTCAATTGATTTTAAGTTTATCATTTTTATGGTTTAGTTAAATTTAAAACTTGTTCATGAATGTAAAGAGATGCAGAATCCGATCATTAGAAACAAATATTTCGTAAAAAAATATCAATATCACGCAAATTTGAATCGCGATGTTATCATACTATGACAATATTATAATACGCGTATACTGTATTTACTGTATTCTCGCCTAAATGGAACTTTTATCGTATTTTAATTATAAAATTTATAAAATTCTTTACCTTTTATTATATATATAACCTTTGATTACTTTTATATTACCTTTATGTATTTTATGTACCCTTTTATTATATATTTTTATTAAGGTGATATTTTTGGATGGGAGATCTAGAAAAATCCCGGATTCACTCGCTTAAAATGATTGACAAAGATGTCACTTTCTCCTTTTTTGTAATAATTTACCCAAATTAGACAAATGGTTTTTTAGACATGTCATTCGATTCTAAAAAAGTAAATTCCGTTATTATACATTATACGCCATAGATCTTCATTTCTTCTGAGAATCGATGCTAGGACCTCCTTCTATATTAAGAAATTAAAGTGTAACGTAATATTTCAAGATGATAAATAAAAATTTCGCGTGTCATCCTTCCATCAAAAGATCATTACTTTTGGTTACCAAGGTTAAATTTTAGCGTCATTATTTATTATCTACGGCGGATCTTGTGATCATTGTGTAACCAATAAGGTACAAGGAAAAGGATCGTTTGAAAAAAAAAAGGTAAAGTACATTTTTATTCGTGTTACTCAACATTTATAACATTTATAATCAAAACGTTTTTCTCTTGTTGGATAAAAGATAGATTCGCGTTAAAATGTTAAATGAAATCATTATGAATATATAAAGTCCGTATACGGTTAAGATGTTGTGTAATAAATAAATAATAAGGTGGCGATGGTGGCGTCCACGTTTAAAATATGTTAAATAACTATCTCAGATATATATATATAATTATCACAAAATAATATGGACCCTTTTTTTTTATATTGATTTTTTTTTTTAAGGGTTATAAGGTTGGGGTGAGATTCTACTGAGTCCACCATTACTACTAGAAAATGTTTACGTATATATGTTTGTGTATGTATGTGCGTGTGTGTTGTTAATTATGACACGGTTTATACCGTTTTACCAAAAACGGAGTTCTTTTAATTAATGATTCTTCATGCGTTTTTGTAAAAAGGATTTAGTTAACGTGTAATGCAAAGTCACGTGAACATTGATAAAAAAAAAAAAGATATATATATATATATATAACAATATTGTAATTCAAAAGAATTTATTTTATTGAACCGGTCAACTTGACAAGTTTATTTATTGTTTTATTACTCAAAACACACTTGGAAATGAATGACATTCAAAAAATCTTTTTTTTTGAAAAATTTTAATTTTATTTTATTTTATTTTATTTTATTTTTTTGAATTACCTTCAAAGAAAATTTCATATGTACAAAGCATTATAATTGTCACATAAAAAAGAATTAAAATATGAATCTTGCATGAAACCAACATATTGTATAATACATGATCGAAATCTAAATGACTAACAAGAAATAATATTTTTTTAAAAAAAAAGTGGGCTGAAAATGGATAAAAAAGTAAGTTTGTAATATACTATAAGTTTGTGCAATATGCATTGTTCGGGTAAATGTGTTGGCTTGTGCACATTATATGTGGTATAGTATAAGATACTATAAAGTAATTATTGAACAAAAATGAAAGAAAATAACAAAAAAAAAAGTCACATTAAATATATTCGGATATGTTGTGAATCTCCGCAAAAAAATAAAAAAATTTACAAAAAAATTTTCCTTTAAAAATAAACAAAAAAAATGAAATTCATTACCATTAATGAAATTATAGACAATGAAATTACAAGATTTGCGAAAAAAAAAAAGGATTTTCATAAAAAAAAAAAAGCTTTTATGCACAACATTAAGTAATTTTAATCTATATTTAGAAGTTGACTTTTTTTAAGTGACATAAAAAAAAAATTTAAGACTTTTTTTTTCTTTTTTAATTTTTTTTGGCTCACATCAAAATGTCACAGATAATGATTATCATCTGCATTGTAATTTATGCACACAATAACTCGGACGTTTTTGATAGGCTATTTAACCAGTTATTTGAAATTTATTTGTTGATTTTATGGGTTTTAAGCATATGAAAATCATCGTAAATATCGAAAATTATTTAAATATGAAATAAAACTTGCTGTGTGTATCGCATTACAAAGCCAAATATGATTTAGTTATGTATTCAATGAACACGTTTTCATTTTTGTAGTCGATTTTAAAGATAATGGCCTACGTAAAAACCAAAAAAGAAATAATATATATTATATTATATATTATTATATATATATATATATATTTTTATATATTTTATATAAAATATATATACATATATATATATATATATTTTTTATATGTATTTTATATATACATATATATATATTATATATACACCATATATTTATACTGTATATATACAATTTCTATGAACGCGTAAAATCTTTATACGTCCCGATATCAATGATTTGTCATTATCATTATTATATCGCTTTTTATCGTGTAATTCATATTATCAAAGCATATGACGATGCAAAACTGTTTATTCTTTTTTTCCCCAAAAAAAAATCACTTTATAGATAATTACAATGGCGCGCGTTAAACCAAAAAATCCATTCAAGAGGTTTCTGATAAGCTATATAAGGTTTGGTGTTACACGATAAATATTTTTTCTTATCAAGGTTATTATATAACTAACTAATTCATAAAATAATTTTGTATAACATCTAATGTATATTTAAAGATTAGTGAAATTTGTAACTAATTTGGAACTGATAAGAAAAAAAATTAGAGTTCAAAAAAATTATTATTTGTTTTATCAATTATTGATAAAAGGGTACAGAAATTTTTTTTTTTTTTTTTTTTAAAAAAAAAAAAATAATTATTATAATTATAAATAAACAGTGTATATTATTACATTACTATACGAATAAATTTATATAAATTTATATAAATTTATAGAATGTTAAAATAAAATAACATAAAATAAAATAAATTTCTTTCCTCTTCTCTATTACTTGTAGAATTCCCGTGTCAAAGTGACACTACAGATATCGGGATAATTTGTGCATTGTCACCTTAAAAAAGTTTTATTTTCAATGAACGCAATCACACATTTATTTTTCTTTTTTAACAAACATCACCGTCGATTATTTCTTATATATTATCGTTATGATTACACAACATAATACCCCACTCGAAAAGAAACGCCTATAAAAAGGTAAAGTGAAAAAAAATGTAATAAACAATGTTTCTCGCATTACATTTTGTTTTCTTGTAACGTTGAACAAAAAAATTGAAGAAAAAAATTACTATATTAAAAACAAGTATGGCGTAACATGAGATGTTTATTGCATATCATCATTATATACTGATATATTAAAATACTAATGCTATTTATATGAGTCTTATAATTGGGTAAAAATTAAAAAAAGGTCAATTTTTGAATTAAGTATATTGTTCTTTTTTGGTCATGTATGTGGCTTATACTCGGCTTATTCCTAAGTTTGTATTCCAAAGAAAAAATGGCTAATTATAAATTTCACCATATTTGGGTTTAATGAAGCATTGAAAATTGGCAAACATAAAAAAGAACAATAGTGAAATATTATTTTATTCTGCATATAATTATTACATTTTTTAACAATCATTTAATTTACAAGAGGATGTTATTAGTTTAATTAATTATAATAATAATGATGAAAAAATAACTGGGTTTTTGTTTAATTCCCGGATAATGGAAAGGCGTTTTATTCTCACAAATTTGGTTGGTAATTTAATTAATATTTATCTCAAGATACAAAGAGTTATTATTTATATAAATATTTTGTAATTATTTGTTAGTTAAATTGGAATATATGGATATTTGGATATTGAATATATGGATATATGAATATTATATTTATATTTTATATACAATATTCCAATAATACAATATCCATATATTCAATAATACAATATCCATATATTCAATAATACAATATCCATATATTCAATAATACAATATCCGTATATTCATATATTCCAATAATACAATATCCATATATTCCAATAATATAATATCCATATATTCCAATAATATAATATCCATATATTCCAACTCCATACAAATATACTAATACTAATATACTCTATACATAATCATTCCACTTTATCCATTTATCCATTCCAATTTCTAATATATCCACTCATGTTAAGGATTTTCTCAACCTTCATTTTAAACAATTATCATTGTACGTTGTACGTAATCAAAAGCATATTGCATCAATCACATATATGTTAAATGATGATCAAGGTTTCATATGATGAACGTTAAAATAACAATTCCTTTGAAGTTCGTACGGCGAATAACATATTGCCGAATATTTATTTATAGTAAGTTATATTACGTAAACTTGCATGAATCTGAAAAGGAAAATGATTTTTGTGGGGTAGAAATGGGGTTAAAACATTAATGCAACTTTATTATCGGCTATTAATTTATACAGCCGATCATATTTAGTTATAAATATAGAACATACCCCAAATTTATATTTATTTGTGAAACATTTATCTCTTTTTTTAAATAGCGTTATCTTATCTTTCTACCTTACTGTATATACCATTACTGCGAGAATATTATATAAAAATGGTCCTTTGGCTTTATAATTTACCCCACGACGCAGTTAAATATAAATGGAAGAAACTTTTTAGATTATCATGATCTTTTTGATAATTTTCGTCTAAAATTCAAGGGTACATCAATTTCACCAATTGTTATCACAATTTTTCTTCTATAATTGATCATTTGTTTGCGGGGAAAAAAAGAAATGTGTAGAGGATTTTTTTTTTTTTTTTCTTTCTTTGTTTTTATTATTTACTAGTGATCGGTAATTATTAAACCTTAAAAGGTTTTTTTAGATAGAAAATAAGTAACAGGTAACGCCAAAATTTTTTTTTTTCTTTATTAAGTATTTTATATTTTCTTAAATTGAAGAATTTTTATGTTACACAATCGTAAACATTATGCTTAATTTTCAATGTATTGCAAATGGTTAATCATTTTCTAATCTGTCTCTTAACTCGTCAAGTTGAAACATGCAAATTGATGCAAGGTCTACAATATAAACCCATTGTTTTCATCATATGTAAACTACATAAATAATAAATGACAAATATAATAAAAAAATTTTAACTTTAAACTGAAAAAAAAAAAAAATGAGGTACGTTTTTTCTTAAATATCCTTTTCTTTAAACCCTCGATAATTAAATTGCATAATTATATTTGTTACAAAATTAAATGAAAGGAAAACAAAGTTATCGATTGTTCATTTCAACATTGTTGGTGGCGTTTTGGAAAAAAAAAGAAAAAAAAAAAAAAAATATTTTTATTTCCGAATATGGATTAGTTCTCCACATAAAAAATATTCCAAAATGAGGAGTTTCTTCCAGATTAAGTATGTATTGAATGTGGGGTAAAAACATTTGTCATTGATTTCTTTAAAAATAAGAAATCTAATCAAAATCAGAAAAATCAAAAACATCAAAAACCAATTATATTTAGGTAAAAAATCGATTTTAAATTTTTATTATTTAAAAAGATTGTTTCTTTTTTTTACTGTCAAAATTTTTCAATTTTTTCAAATTTTTCAATTCTTTTCAATTCTTTTCTTTCAAAATTCTTTTCTTTTCTTTTCAATTCTTTTCTTTTCTTTTCTTTTCTTTTAATTATAATTTATTTTGTCATCACCTTTCAGCCTATCACCTTATGCAATAAACTTTGTTTGACGTTTAGATTGATAACTCCGATATCTTCAACACAAAAGCCACCCCCACATTAAAATCTTTCTTATTTAGGTTATGCTTATTACCAATCTTGAATTAAAATAAAATACTTTGATTACTATTGCTCGTGATAATTCTTTAAAAAGATTAGTGGTTTATTTCATCAGTGATCCTACCTTTTTTTTGATTTGAAGGATACTGCGCCTCTTTTCGCTATTTATTTTTTTATTATATAAGAATTAATCAAACATGGAAAATATTATTGATTTCTAAACGCCCAAAAAGAAATTATATAATATTTTGCCACTTGCGTAAAATTTAAATGCTTATCGAAATTTAATCGCCCCAGGTTCTTTATCGTATATTTTTAATTGGTACAAGATCACGTGTTTATTATTCCATCATTTTAACTTTTTATGAACAATATTTTTTTTTTTTTTTCAAAAATGAAAGTATTTTATTCAGAAGTTTGTTTAAAACATGCTCCAAAGCATGAAATAATATCCGGAAATCTAATTGATTATTTAGGTAAGTACTAATTACTAATTACTGGTTATCGTTAGTAAAATATTAATTCCAATTAATTACAGAAAGTCCTTCTCGTCTAATTATAATAAAAGAATATTTAAATTCTTTGTCAAATTTTGATTTCGTATCCCCAAATGATTATGGTTTGGATCCAATATTATCAGTACACTCAAAAGATTATGTTGAATATCTTCAAACTGCTTATGAAGAATGGGTAAAAAATGGTGGTAATAAGAATGGTATATTACCCGAAGCTTTTCTTCATCATAATATATCTTCTTCTTCTTCAATTAAACGTAAAGTAAAAGTTACTTCTCCATTTGCGAAAGCTGGATTATATTGTTCTGACTTGTCTTGTTGTATAACAAAAGGTAAAGAATTTTTTTTTTTTTCATTTCATTATTAGAAACTTAAAAAATTTTGGTTGCTTTTAGATACTTGGGAATCAGTTTATGAATCAGCTCAAGTGGTAATAAGTGCCACAATGGAACTTAAAAGATTTGTTGAAGAATCATCATCTGAAGAAATAAATCATTTTCCTGGTATATTTGCTTTATGCCGTCCACCAGGGCATCACGCAAATTCAATTCTTTCTTCTGGTTATTGTTTTTTAAATAATGTTGCAATATCAACCAATGTCCTTAAAAAAGATAATAATAAAGTCGTTATATTAGATATTGATTATCATCAGTAAGTATCAGTGATTATTAATATATTAATAATATTTTATATATTTAAATTTTTTTATTTGTTTTATTTCTAGTGGAAATGGAACACAGGAAATATTTTATCTAAATTCGAATCCATTATATGTATCATTACATGGTTCACCTGATTATCCTTGGTTTACTGGTGATGAATCAGAAAGAGGTGAAGGTGAAGGTGAAGGGTTTAATATTAATATACCATTATCCAGAGATACTGATGATGATGAATACTTGAAGGCATTAAAAAAGGTTATTAATGAGAATATAATACCTTATAATGCAGATTACTTAATCGTTTCTCTTGGTGGTAAGTTTTTAAATATTGAAATTATTTGAAATTAATTTATTAATTTATTTTAATTATTTTAGTTGATACATATAAAGAAGATATAATAGGAGCATTACAGATCACTACAGAAGGATATAAAAGAATAGGAGAAATGATTAAATCTATCAATTTACCTACTTTATTTGTAATGGAAGGTGGTTATCATTTAGAAACTATTGGAATTAATGTTGGAAATGTTTTATTAGGTTTCAATACTTAAATATTCTTTATTTATTGAAAGCATACAATTTATAAAAAGTATATATATCATAATTTTGGCAAGTTATTAAAGATACTATTTTTTTTAAACGAATTATTAAATCTAATTTCTAGATGGAACTTATATATAGTAAATATATACATACAGTGCTGGCAAAAAGTAATTGGAATTGCAAAAAATGCAATAAATGAGAAACCAGCGATTGAAATTGCTTCAAATTTTACAGATTTGTTACCAAATAGATCAATATTAAGTGTATAAAATTTCAGCTTTTTATCTCATTTCCTTGTCTCACAATTGATTTTTTTTTTTTTTCAAAAAAAAAACCATTAAAAATTTAAGCAAGGTAAAATTTAATAAAGATTTTTAATATTATCCTCAGTCATTAACAATTAACATATATAATTATAATAAAAAATTATAAACATAAAAATATATTTTTAATTGATTTATTAAAAAAATTTGGTTATTACTTAATTAGTTAGTTCAGTTTTTCTATAAATTGACATTAATGTTGACTCAAAAATCATTAAAATAAAATAAATTTTAAATACATTACACTTGTTTAATTGATATTTTCAAAATTGCATTTAAATCTTTATCATCAATATTTAAATCGTCATCATCTCCTGTATATTCTGTGTCATATATCATATCTGGTTGATCAACATATAACCAATCAGGAGCATCATCCGGTGGTACTTTATCATAGCATTGTATCTCATCGTTATAGTTCCAAGGTCGTAATTGCTGCACCGTTTGTCTCACTCTTACATGTTTATTGAAAACATTTCTTAATAAAAGTCTCAACTAAAATGTAAAAATAAGTAAAATCAGAAAATGTAAAAATAAGTAAAATCAGAATTAGTGAAAATAAGTAAAATCAGAATTAGTGAAAATTTATAGCAAAATAAATTATCAAGATAAAATAAGTAACCTCTTCTAAGTGCTACGATAGATTATAAACATTAATGACTGATTTTGAACCTTCATCTTCAGTTTCACTCACTTCCGGTGAATGATATATTGATATGCACGATTTGCCAGAATTTTTAACAGATCCCATTTTCCATAACTCGTAATTCAGCTATTCTTTTTATTAAAGAGATCTTTCGCAGCCTTTATCCTTCGCAATTTTTTCTGATTGATAAATTTAAAATGAGTTAATATGGATTATTAATTTGCCGCTGGACTACATTACATATATCATTTAATCTATTATTAGCATAAACTCGTCGATTGTCCATGCTTTCTTTGCCAGATATCTTCAAACTCAACTTAAATTGTCGAGATTTATGTAGGCTACTTAACCATCTTGTTACCTGGTTAAAGGATGGTTGATAATTTGGAGCAAGTGATTTTTGGATTTCGAGAATTAATTTACGTTAAATTTTAATGTTTTTTGCACTGTTAAACGTTTCATTGTAGTTTAAGTTATATTTATCATTAAGTGTTTTTAAGATTGATTTCATTTCGATCTAATTGATATTTAGAAAAAGAAAAATTAAAGAAAGTATTATGAAATAATAAAATTAGCAACAAACAGATATGTTAGTAGAAAATTCAGTATAAATTTGTGGAGCCAAAAATGTTAGTTATTGAAATTAATAAAAAATTGGTATAGTGCAGAACCTTTATACTCAACTACTTATGTATAATAACAATTAATTGATAAAAAAAAAATTTTTTATATTAAATTAAAAAATTTAACTGATAATTTTTATAGATATGACCATTAGCTTTAAAAATTATCGGTTATTTTTTTTCTAAATTAAATTTTGGCTGAGTTTTAGCTGTTTAAAAATCTGTAATTTAAACATATTGATTAAATTTAGTTAAAATTGAGACTAGTTTAAATTTTTGTATTACAGGTTTTTTTAGCCATATTTAATGTACAGATTTTTTTTTTTAATATACCAAGAAGAAAAAAAATTTTAAAACTGCAAAAAAAAATTTAATAAATAAGGTTGTTTAAATATAGGTCAATTTAATGTTATAGATGATAATTATATACCATCAAGTGAATATTTAAAAGATAGTTCAGATGAATTTATAAATGAAAAAATTCAAAAACTAAGTAATTTTACTTTAATTTGGTCAAAAAATACATATAATAAAATACAAATCTCATCATCATATATCTGATTTATCAGTTTATAATGAAATACAATAAATAAATATATTATATAAATTTTAATATCTAAAATCCTAATTTCTGATTGGTTAATATATGTATCACGTGATGCTTATATAATCTGAAAAATTGAGACTTTTTTTTATTTTATAAATCAATTCCTTTTAATAAATAGAGTTTAATTTTTTTTATAAAATTAAAATCCAATCATAAAATCAAATTTTATTCAATTTTTTTTAAGTTCCTATTATAGAGGTTCTGCACCGTAGTCATGTCGAATTTTCTAATTTGACATCCAGGAGATTAAAATAATGCCAGACGCCTTTAGCAGAAAAATTAACGTTATTATATGGCCATATTAAAATTCGATCTGAGAAGATATTTCCATTTGCTAGTATCAGAAATCAATTAGCATCAATGTATTGGCGGCCGGAATTTGAAAGAAATTTATGTCACTGGTCTGAACATAAACGATTTGATGATATTTTAACTGATATCTATGACGGTCAGATCTGGAAAAATTTTAAAGAAACAAGCAATGAAAATTCATCAAAATTTTTTTGACCTGAAGTGGCTGATTCTAATCTTGGTTTAATGTTGAATCTTGACTGGTTTCAACCTAGTGCTCCTAACAGATCAGATCAGATCAGATTTTACTTAAATTTAATCTGATCTGAAATTAATTAAATCTGATCTGATCTGATCTGATCTGAATCAGATCGGTTTTAAATTTAATCTGAATCTGATCTGATCTGATTTGAATCTGACCAAATCTGATCTGATCTGAATCCGATCTGATCTGATCTGAATCTGATCTGATCTGATCTGAATCTGATCTGATCTGATCTGAATCTGATCTGAATCTGAAATAAATATAAGACCCAGACAACTTTTTGCAAATTGACTCTAAATTTCAAAAAAAAATCAGTTTTTTGCGATTATCTTGGTATCTAGTGATCCGATTCATGTGAACTTTTTTTTATTTTGTAGCTCTCATCGAGCTCTACAGAATAAAAAAAAATCCGCATGAATTGGATCACTGGATACCAAGATAATCGCAAAAAATCGAAAATAAAAAAAAAGCAAATTGGGTCTTTTTTGGCAAAAAGGTAGTTAGTTATGAATTATATAAGAGATGTCCAGGGTCCTATAAATATATTATAAAATTAAAAAAAAAATACATTTTATTAAATATCTTACTATTTAGTAATTTTAAAAGTTGAAATACAGTCCATTTAAATCTTAATAAAATGAGTTAAATGGTAATAGTTTTGTATTTTTAAATGTAATAAATAGTGAGTTATTTAATAACTATGGTGGCTGTCACCTATAAACCACACTAATATTAAGTGACTTCAAATTTTTATAAATTGTAAATTGNGTCTCTTATACACATCTAGATGTGTATAAGAGACAGGTACTGAACATTTCTATCGGATTATTTTATAGAATTTAATAAGAATTTTAATTAATATTATGGGTTAAAGTTGGATAATTTTAATAAGTAGCAATAATAAAAATATAAAATTTCGGACTAGTTTTCATGTAATTTTTATGGATTTTACAAAAATTCCATGGAAATCCACAAGAATTCCATGTAATATGGCAAAAAAAAAATTTTGCCACTCACGCGGCAATTAATATTTTGACAAAGTACTTTAAAACATAAGTTACACAATATAAATAAATAAATTTCAAAATTTCGGACTATTGTTGTTTATAGGTGACAGCCACCATATTATTTTACAATTAATTAAACTAAAAATTACTTAATTTATTTAACTTTAATTTTGAAGTTAAAGTTTATTTTATTTAAAATTTTAAAATTTTAAAAAAGTAATAATATATATGTTATTCACTTAAAAAAGTAGTTCACCAAGACTGTAAACATATACAAATTCTTATTTTTTTACCTGCTAAACAATTTTGTTTATCTGTAATTAAATTTTTTCCTACTGAAAAACTTTGTTCAGAAGGAACACTAGTAGCAGGTATTGGTAAGTAATCTCAAGCCATTTGTGAAAGATGAGGAAATTGTGATTCATTAACTTTCCACCATTCCAATGGATCTGTTTCTTCATTCATTAAAGATAAGGAAAGGTATGTTTGAATTTCATCAATATATTCTATATTACGCCTTTTAAATACACGTGACATAACTGATTTTTCTTTAATTTCAGAAGTATTATTAAGAACTTCAGGTTTAGTAGAAGCATAAAATTTGTTGTAAATATTAACAAATCTAAAAAAAACAATAATAAAATTAATATATTATATTAAAAAAAAAAAATATATATATTAAATTTATATTTACTTTTGATAAATAGTATTAACTAATGTTTCTTCCCAATTATGATCTTTGTAATATTTTAATTTCAATCTTGGATCCAAAATTATTGAAATTAA